TTGTACTACAAATAAATTTTGTAGATTTTATAAGTAAAAATTTGATAATTTTTACGAGTATTTTGAAAAAAAAATAAAATAAAAGGGAAATTCTTCCAGGTAATGATTGCCATTTTGAGTTCAAGAGAACTTTTCTCTTAAATATCAAAATTTAATTGGCAATCACAAATGTTACATAATGTATTGTTACTTTACACTTTACACCTCAGATTGGATTAGTTAAATTCTCTTGTCAACAAAAGCACATCTCATTCTTTAGTAAATGGCGCAACAGCTTTTGTTTTGTTTTTTTTTTAATAAGTAAAATTTAGAATGTCAAACAGAAGTTGTTGATAGTGATGTTAGAAAGGTCTTTTATTGCTGCATTGTTTTTGATGATGGGAAGGGAAAAAAAAAAAAAAAAAAAGTCACTTTCTGACAACCGGTAAAAAAAAGAGCGCACCATAAATATAGTCACAGCCATTTGTTTTTTTTTTGTTTTGCACCTTAAGAACTTTAGGTTTTTTGGAAGCCATCTCAAATGGAATAAGGAAAAAAAACATCTTTGCCAGATTAGCTGCAATTAAAAAAAAAAAAAAAAAAAAAAAAAAAAGGTGACTTTTGCTTTTTCTTTGACTTCTAAATTTAAATTTGATATTAAAAAATGTTTTTAAAATTAATTAGATATTTACAATGGCTTTACAACCTTCATTAGATTTCTTTTTAAACGTTAAATAAAGTATTTACTATATAATGTTAAGAAGAAGAAAAAAAAAAAAAATGACATTTACCAAACAATTCTTAATTTTATTTTGTAGATTGTTAAACATTTTTTAGTAGAGCAGGAAAAATTTGTTTGGAGAATTCTGATGAAATGAACAATTTAAATAATTAGTTATCTCCGTGAGATAATCCAAATCCTCTCCCTTAATAGCAAGTGGCAGAGAAATCCAAGAAACATATCCAAAATGGTTAATACTCAAGCACCTATCAACTATACCAGCTTCTAAAAGAAACCGTCTCATCTTTCCCTAAATATAGTGACTTTTTACAAATACATGAATAAACTGAGTGAAGTGGGTACAAGGTAAGAGGTGCTTACATAAGATGTGCTTGCCTCTTAGAATTAAGTTTAATCTCATACTAACAAAACCAAATATGCCGCCACCTTCACAAGTCTGGAGAGGTCATCTGACCAGTCTTGAATTCCGATCTGTCGTAATTATTTTCCCAAGTGTTATTTATTGGGTGATGACTTATAACATTTCTCTCTTGGTTTGTACAAAGTCAACAGATATTATGAATACACCTTCATTTCTGAAAATAATATAGGCAAAAAAAAAAAAAAAAAAAAAAAATAAAAATCAAGCAACCACAAAGCAGTAACCAAAAATATGTTAAGCACAAGTGTTCACCAGACACAAAGGCACAGCCAGCACTATCTAAGAAAAAAAAAAAAAAAAAGTTTCAATGCATTGTGCTGCTGGTGTGTGACAGTTTTGAAAGAACATAAATCCACACAAAAACTCATTAATCAAGCCATTATTTATAAGAGGTATGGGGTTGGGGTGAAAAAAAAAAAAAAAAATGAAGAAAAAAGTTACCATGCCAAAATAGAACCTCTTTGAAGATCACACAAAAATAGCAGTTGTAACAATTTATAGGAAGGAATTAGACTGATCACTGACCAAAAAATAACGATAGTCGTGGTTTAAAAATCAAGCTTTTAACACACACCCATCTTAAACCAGCTACACAAGGCAGGAAGTTGTAGAGAGCCATGATAGATGAATAAAATAGAATCTTAAACCATCAAATTGAGCAAAATAACTTGTCTATGTGTAATGTCAATAAAAATCACTTCAAGTAGACATTTAAAAAACTGATTCATGGCAAGACAGTACTTAGAAAGGTGTTTAACAATAAATTTCTTTCAAGTCTAAAATTGCCTGAATTAATGCATAGGCAGTGTTTGTCAAAAGCAAAATCATTAGTACTGATTTTACCCAATAAAGAATCATCAAACCCTATTATCAAACTTGTAATCTGTAAGCAAATGCTTCCTTTTGTTACAGTACTTATATGAGAGAGAGAGAGAGAGAGAGAGACTTATGATTTATCATTGCCAAAGAAAATGTCATATTTCCCAAGTACCAAAATGCCAGATTGAAGAAAGTTAACCTAGTATATAGCATCAATTGCTTTTCATGTCAGCCTAAAACAAGAAAACACATACACACATTCAAGTGCCACAGATCTGAATAGATTAACCTCTTATTTTATTAGCATCAATTTTCAAACATTGCTGAACTAATAACAGGTCATGGTTTTTACATAATGAAACTTTCTTTTTTGTCATTTATAGTGTAATAGAATAGAATAAAATTTTATCGATTTATTCACACAAAAGTGAGAACTTCTTTCCCTGCTAAATTTATCATTTCAAGTGTGCCTATGATTAATAAGAACCCTATAAACCAATAATATTGCATTCTTGGTGGGCATTCTATTATTGTAACTGATGTCAAACTATACACTAAGCTTAGTAAATACAATATTTTTCACATGAATAAGTACAAATTCCATTTTAGGCTATTTAGAGAATCTTTACATGTTATAATTTTTAAATGGCTTTTATATTGGCGAAATTTATAATACTGAATTAACTTGGAAAGTTTTTGTAAAATAATGTTATTAAAAGCCAGAACACTTTAATGTTTTGTGATATCTCAACTTATTAGTTTATTATTTTAACTCCAGATGACTTTAGAGCTTTTTTTTTCTTCTGATAAAACTCTTTTTCTTCCAATCAATCCAACACTTCTGATAGCTGAGCCAATAAAAACTAGAATTCTGATGCAAAACCAAGCCTGATGTATTTGTATAGTGTTTTACTTTACTTATTCTAAGCAATTATTGTAGTAGATAAGAATTTCTTTATTCTTGAACTCATACATTTTTTTGACAGGGGAATTTATATCGATTTTAATCATTTTTGAATTATAAAAAGAAATCATGCATCAGAAGGTTGTTGAAGAAGTGGGCTTTTAATTCCAGAAAATGAAAGGCCTCTTGTATATGCAGAAGTCTGATTATGTGAGTGGGGTAGAACCAATTTAAGAGGGAAGTGGTTATGTATATATATATATATATATATATATATATATATATATATATATATATATATAGAGAGAGAGAGAGAGAGAGAGAGAAAAAGAGGCAATTCAACCCCTCACCCAGCAAATCACAAGGTAAAAAAAAAAAAGTGACTTATTTAAGTAATATATTATTTTTGTAATTGTGTAATCCTTACTTAAATCTTCCTGGATTTTTCTTTAAATTAAAACAAAACATTAATGCACTGTCTACATGAAAAGTAACTTGATCATTGATGTACACTTTGAGACATTTTGTGAATAATAATTATTTGACATCTTTTACCATGCACAAAAAAAGCAAGGAGAATGAAAGGTATAAAATAGTTCAATATTTAAATATTGTAATACCCTCAAAGAGAAAAACAATCTTATTCTAAAAGCACCCATTCAAGGTATGATATAAAATAGTGATCTTGAAAGCCATTAACAGTGCGTTTTCTTTCCCCTTAATGCTTTGTAAATGTGACCCTTTGTCAAACTTTTAGTTCAAATTAAATCAAAATATTTTCTTTTTCTGTATTACTAAAACATCATTTCTGCAGAATAAAATTAATACAAACATTGAAGAATAAACTTGAATTTGTTTTCTTACTGCAGAAAGAAGACTGCTGGTTGGAAGAGCAAATAACATTTCTGGTGACAAGAAAAAACAATTCCTGCTTTCAAAAGTTTTCAAAGAAAATCCTCAACTTCTTTTAATATTGATTCTGGGTGAAAGCAGGTATTTTTATCTTTTTTCAACTAGTTATAAAATATGTTTAAAATTTGCAATAGTTTTTGAGAGCTCAATATTGGGGATAAAGTGCTTGTAGATATAGATGTGTGTGTGTGTGTTTGGGAAAGTAATAAAGGGATGCTGAAAAAGGACAAAAATGTCTTTAAAAGAAAATAGTGTAAAGGAATTATGGAAGAAATTTTTTTTCTCTTTAATACATTTTGGTTACTTAGAAAAAAGGGACAATCAAACAGTTCCATAAATTTGCATAATTACTAAGAATGCTTCATTATTTATATATATATATATATATATATATATATATATATATATATATATATATATATATATATCAACTGACAACTTCTTGTATCCAAAGCTATTAAATGAGTGTTTCTATGCACACACACATGCAGACATAGCATTCCTTGTAGAGAACAAGTTTCTAACAACATTTTTGATTAAAATTTACTTGCTCAAACTGAGCAATGACATCACATATCTATGTTTCAAATGCTATAATACACTAAAGCAAGTCATATTTCTGGATGGCAAGATACATACCTGAAAATGATAATTTCTTCCAAGTTTTGAGAAAAGAAAGAAAAAAATGTTTATGAGCATATGAATTGGGAGGGGGTGTTACTAATACGAAATCTAACTTTATATTCTTCTGATCAAAAAATAAGACTTGAAGGAAGGGGGTGCCTCTATTCTCGTGGAATAATGTGTACGCTTTAAAGACAAAAAGTTAAACAGCAAAGAAAATGTGTTAACATTCTTGGTATTTGCTGATCACCAAAATATGAGAAAGAGAGAGAAAAATGCCAACAGTGTTACTGGAAGTGTTTAATTCCCCAAATGATTATGGTAATGATCAATATATCTATAAGAGAGAGAGAGAGAGAGAAAAAAAGAATCAACACAGGAAACATTATTTATATACTGGAATAAGCATTTTCTTGGGTTTGGGCTGGGTATGGAGGGGGAGTTACAGGCTTGAAAAAACCTCTGACATCCCAATTAAGTCCATAAAAAAAAAATTTTTTTTTAAAAATAATAATAAAAAAAAATATCAGAGCTCATTCTGTGTATGACTCTTCAAATGTCTATTTAAGTCTTTTGGCCAGGAGAAATATAAACCACACTGTTTGCATTTAAATGGGCGTATGTCCGAGTGACGAGTAGTGCGGTGGTATTTAAGGTCGTCACCACGGAAAAAGGACTGACTACACAAGTCGCACTTGTAAGGTCTTTCCCCGGTGTGATAGCGAACATGACGCTCGCGATTTGGCTTTGATGTAAAGATCTTGCCGCAATACTCGCACACATATCGGCGATGAACAACGGTACTATGTGATTCAAAACTATCAAAGTCTTGGTACACTTCACCACATTCTTTGCAGGTGAATGGAACACTTTTTCGAAATGGTATCTCTGGGGTAACTACCCGTTCAAAGCAGGCTGGTTTCGTTCCTGTACCTTTCCTGGTTATCTTGGTTTCTGACAATGGAGAAGATGGACTGAGGTCCTTTGCATTTGAATTTCTTACAGACTCATTCATGGCAAGGACATCTGAAGTAATGCTGCTGCCTGTGCTGTCTTCAAAGTCATCTGGATATTCCTGTTTGATATTTACGTCGCCATTTGATATTGGTGGAGTGAATGTCTTTTTGGAATTTGCCCGAATCTCCCTCTCGTCTCCTTCATTAATAACCAATGTAGAATCGTCTTCGTTCTCAAGGGCAGAAACTCTTTCCTCAAATTCAGGGTTGTCATTCATGTCTACGTCATTCTCTTCATGAGATGTTACTTTATCTGAAGACTGCAGCCTTTCTTGCTCAGCAAGACCCCCTGTGTAGGGGTCATCATCAGATGACTCAATGTCATCGATGTGGGAATCGCTGAATTCTGCTTTAGTGTCAGAGTTCTCTTTCTTCATGTTAACTTCGTGAACTTCAAAGATATGGCATCGAAGGAAATCTTCAGAACCAAAGCCCTGGTTGCATTCGGTGCACCAGTATTGCTTAGAGAGATCTGTTTCAACATTGGACTCATGCACCATCATATGTTCCCGAAGATTGGAAGGATAACGAAACTGCTTATGACATAGACGACAAGCATGCGTCTTGCTTTGAGCATGTGAATGCTCGTGGCGGATAAACTGCTTGTATGTCGGTAGTTTGTTCTCGCAAAAACAACACACATAGGAACAAAATGTAGATTCAATCCGATGGCGTTTCAGGTGGATCGTGTAGGTAAATGGATCATCAAACTGCATATTGCATGGTTCACACATGTAGTTTTTTTTGTGTCCATGAGTCAGCATGTGCTTTTGGTACATTAAAGAGTTAATGCCAGTGAAATTGCAGAGAGTACACTGGAACTCTTTTAGTTCAGGGTGTGTTTTCTTATGTTCCATGAACACATGAGTATTATTAAAACCTTCACCACACTGTGGACAAACATGCATCAGTTTGCAGTTGTGTTCATTGCGCATGTGATTGGACAGGCAGGATCTATCCATGTAACCCTTGTTGCACTGGTTGCAACGATAAGGTTTATCATAGTTATGCTTCAACAGATGGAATTTGAGGTCATCTTTTCGGGTGAAGCTGTTAGAGCAGATGTTGCATGTGTAGGGTTTGTAACCAGTGTGTAGGCGGATGTGTCGTTTCAGATTATTACGAGCAGTGAATGTTCGGTAACAGATATTGCAGGTGAAAACCGAATGCTCAGTTAGGTTATGCTTCTCAAAGGCACTTGCATCGGGGAAGACAATTTCGCAACGTTTGCATTGAATAGAAGTGTAAGGCTTTACTGCAGACAAAGTTGAGGAAGGCGCTAAAAGACTGCTGTTGAAGTCGGCATTTGAAGGAAGGCTAACTTTGGAAGACAGAGAATTTGGTGTAGCATCCAAAGACCTATGGAAACTGTGTTCTTCCAAAGTCTCATAGGAAGAATTAAGGATACTAGTAGTATGTTTAGAACCATCAGAAATTGATAAGGAAAGATTTGGACGCATGGAACAATTTTCTGGCTCTTGTGTCAAATCATCTGCTTCATGAAGACTGACATGTCCGTTTATACCAATCTGGTGGTCAGATCGATTTGAGCGGCTACCATTGCCATTGATATCGCCACAATCCTTAGAAGAGAAACTGGAAGACTGAGTGAGGGACAGTGGCAAAGACTGTGGGGGTGGAGGCAGAGAAGTCGATCCATCAAAGCACATCTTACCCCCAGTGAAAGATTTGGAAGAATTTTCATATTTCATGACACTAGTTTCATATCCATCAGTTTTTCTTTGAATTTGCTCATGAACTTTGATCACAATCTGCTGGGGTTCATTTTCGGCTGTTATGCAGACAATTCCGTCAACTTCTAAACAATGTTTGTAGGAAATGGTTTCTCGGCAAAGAGTCAGAATTGACTCGCGGAGAAGGCGCTCAACTAAATCCCTTTGGTTTGCTGCCATACTAAATATTTTGCATCTGGAAAAAACAAAAAGCAAAAATAGGTTATTATAGGGTAAAAGAAAGAAGAAAAGAAAAAAGAAAATCCAGTTAAGAAATAAATACAATAATTAAAGTAAATTATTAAAACAAAAACACTTTGGAAATGAACCCCACCCAATATCTTAAGAAAAAGTGATGTATGTTCTATACACCTGAAAACCTTGATTATGTAAACTGTTAGGTAGGCTTTATAAACATAAAAACATTCATTCACTAAAAATATGGTGATAAAAAAAATTTCTGATGGAAGCGGCAAAAAGAAAAAAAAAAAGAAAAAAAAAAAAGAAAAACAAAAAAAGGACATTTGTGGAACAGACTCCTGAAGGAAGGTTTCCCAGGTCCCTACAATCTTAACTTGTCCAAGGTCAACTGCTTTCTATCCTACAAAAACTGCACTTCCTCCTCTTATGTTTATACGACAACTTCACTCAATAATGCTCTGATGACCGGCTTTTGAGCTTTGTACTGACTGAATATTTATTTTCAAGCAAAAAAGTTTATTTTCTATAGTGAAATACATAAAATGCATTACAATTACATAACAATTGACCAGAGATTATGAGTCAATCAAAATTTAAACACAAAAGATAAGTCTGTATGATCTGTTCTCAAATATTATTTTATGGGTCATGTTTTTGAATTCCCGCCAATCAACATAAAATCTCTTTGTAATAATTACACATGTATATGATTGAATTTTTTGAAGGATGACTGTGTGACTACTTCTGCTACTACGGCCTTTGGCATTTAACATAGTTATGGGTGAATGGCTTATCATTGATCATTTCTTCAAAATGCCACAGATGAAACAAAATTCAGAAAGAAGTTTCATGCCTTATCAAGAATATAAATAAAAAGGCCTCCGATTGGGAGTTTCCAGAAGTGTGGAACTACCTGTTAATTGCTGATGTTCCCAGATCCACCCTGACCCAGTGTGGTAGCACCTGCTAGGGTCCCAGCTATGGGCAAATAGTGAACTCCCAAACATAGTACATTTTTATAGTAAAATTACCAACAATACATTTTATGATCTAAAAATTATGTATTTAAAAAAAATATACCTTTACCCTGAAAGTATAAAACTGCATGAAATATTTGTAGTTGAAAGCATAAAATTACGTACAAAATATTTAGATTTCAAGATCAAATTACCCATAGGTGTTGATATGCCAAAAAAAAAAAAAAAAAAAAAAAAAAAAAATCACCCAACCAACATGAAAATCTTTCATGACATTAATCCATATAATATCCTACAATTTCTTGAAGAAATCAAACTATATTCTGAAATATAACGTCTACAGCATAAACTATGCATATCACCACCTCTCGTAATCATGTCCACACAAACACATATGTAGAAAAGCTGAGTAACATTTACCATGTATGCAATTGTGAAAGCAAAATAATGTATACACATATTTATTACTTCAAAGCACTCAAGAAAATTTACTTTCAGCATTAAATGACCCATAAGGGCTTGACACACTGTTAAACAGATCAATCATTTATTATCAAAAATATTTATTTATTATTGATACATTGATAACCTGAATTTACATCTGAAATTTTCACTGGATAATGTTCAATCTATGCAATTAATATTCACACCAACTGAATTAATTAAGTGTACTGACAAAAGGAGGAGATTGTGTTGAAAACTGCCTGTTTAAATGTTTTTCCTTAGTTATGTACTGTGTGTGTGTGTGTGTGTGTGTGTGTGTGTGCACACACACACACACAAATGAGGGTACGTGTATGCGTTGATAGATTTTCATTCATAAAATTTATTTTTGAATTTGTGTTTGTATCATAAAATTTCCAGTAGAAATTTTGTTTATATCAGTCAATATCGATATTAATCAAAGAGCCTACAAAATTTGCTTTCTGTCACTTACCTATCTTTCTACTTATCCTGAATCAACTTAATTGGCTGAAATAATAAATTCCAGCCTTGGTAAGTATCATTTAATGTGTAGGTAGAAGCCAGAGTCACAGACATTCATTTTGAAGCAGTTTGATTTGACATTGGCTAAAGTCAAATGTGTATGCTTCGCAAAACTTGAAATAAATATCCGCATGATATAATTATCGAGTCTTATTATCTTGTACTTTTTTGCAAAATGTTTGACAAAAATTTGAATGATTTTGTGATGCAAATCAGTCAGAACAACACATGCAATATCAAAATTTTATAATACCTCATTCTTTAGCTTTGAAATTTTACATGGATTAACGTTTTGATTAATATTTTCTTTTTGGAAATTTCTGTGACGAAAGGAAGTTTATTCTTTACATTTAAAATAATGTCCTCCTCTCTGTTACTATCATAATATTCTGGATATTGCTGTTTCTGGTCTTCTTCAGTTGTCTGTCAAACCTGAAGAAGGCCAGAGGACACAATGGTAGAAGCATTGTGAAATGAGGTCATTAGTTGAAATGAAAACAATATATTCTTAAAGTTTTAAAGCCCCCCCCCTTTTTATTAGGATGGGTGGGGGAGATTTCAACAAATAATTAATCTAAGTTGGAGTTGTTATGAACCAAAACATCAAAACTTAAGTTCAGTTCTGTTTTAAGTTGTAGGTGAAAACGCATGTTAAAATAGTCTGCACTAAAATGAGATAAAATCTTTTGCTTTGAATGCACATGAAACTGAGAAATTATTTCAATTTTAATGTATTAAAGGTCTAGTGAGATTTGCAGATAATATAATTTTATTTATATATAAAGTTCATGTTAAATTAGGTCAGAGCTTAGAAATACAATCCTAATTTAAATTTTAAAATGTCACTCTTCCTTCAAACAAAAAAACTAAACGTTAACTATTTTTTCTCTATTTTATGAAAATGAAATCTGAATCATTAAGGTTCAAAATATTTTCCAGCAGAAACGTATTTTTTTTTTTATTATTTCATCTTTGATGCTGACATTTCTTTTCTTAACCTCTCTATTCCCCAACCTCCCCACAAGGCCAGTTTTTAACGTGTGGTGTTCTGAGCCTGTAGGCTTGGGCAAAAATTCCACAGACCCCGTATACACAGGGTCGGTTTTGTCTACTTTCCTAAACAAGACTGTCCTTCAGCGTAGCTTTGTCTGCACAGAGGTAGAGAGTTCGACAAGAGAGGAAAGTCTGTTATAAAACAACCGGTGTTATTAGATTTAAAATCTGAAACTCCTTTAAGCTGTACAGAACTATATTAAATAAAATTGCAACAAATGAAAACTAGTAAGCAACAACCGAGCTTCAAGGCGAGGGGATTTAGCAGCTTTCAGTAGGAATATTGTTTCCATATTTTTTTGCCTTTTTAGTCAAAAGGATATGCACAACATTTTTTTTTGTTTTATTTATAAGATTGTAAAAAAAAAAAAAAATAAATAAATAAATAAAAGTACACTTTTATTTTCAAAAATCGACTTTTTTTTTTTTTTTAATTATATCCATCTTTAAAATGTAAACAATTTTAAATTTTTACAATATCTTATTTTGTTTCTTAATTTCTTTAAGAATAATTGGGGATCTTTTTAAAGGTCAGTATAATCGTTAGAAAACAAAGAAATGAGTGCTAAACGTTTATAATAGTTGGTAGTTGACGTTGGACAAATTCCTCACAGATGAAGTGAAAACTTGAAGCAATGTAAATGCGGTTAGAGAGAGAGAGAGAGAGAATATGCTATGAAAAGAATACCATGGACAGGGAGAGCAAAAGCATCATAGAAATTTTAAGGAAACTGGGGGAGCTTATACTTAACATCAAGAAGAGGCAGCTGAAATTTCTGGGACATGTAAGGAGAAAGGAGGGCTTGGAGAATCATATACTCACAGGTTGAATAGAGGGAAAGGGAAATAAGGGAAAGCAATGCATGACAGAACATGGCCTGGGAGAAGTAACAAAGGGACGAAACATTGAGAGCTACAAGGGATAGGGGGTTGGGGAAGTGGAGAACCATGATTGCCTACGTCCTGAAGGGTTATGGTACATAAAAGAAAATAAAATAAAACAAAACAAAAAGGAAACTTAGTTATACTCATTATAATCGGGAAAAGACAGCTGAAATTTCTTGAACATAATGAGGACAGAAGGTATGGAGAATAATACTCAAAGGACATAAGGGATAGATGGAATGTAGTGGGCCACCCACCAGACGAGCTTGTAGGAATAAATGGTGGGACGAGAGGATTAGCAAAGGAAAAAAATGTTGCTAAGAACTACAAGGGTAGGAGGCTGTGGAGAGCAACAATCACCCACTTCTAAAGTGACAGGTCACATAAAAATAAAATGTTCGTAAATTTATTGCGCGGAGTTTTGTCGGTGTGGGTTTAGAGGAATCGGAGGCGGGGAGATGATGTCCATGTCTAAAATATGATGTAGTTGAAAATTGAACCTTATATAACCAAGCAGTCATTCCAATATTCTTCTTAAGCTATATACATTGAAGATTTAAAAAAAAAAAAAAAATGAGCGGAGGTAGACACAACACTGCTTTCAATGGAAAAGTTAAAGGGGTAGGTGAAACCACACGTATCTTAGTATAAAGACAACATTCATAACAAAATTGCTACAGATCAAAACATTTACACCTAATGGCAGCGGAATCATTGTCAGAGATAGACGCCATCAGCTATGAAAGTCAAATGAATAAGCCGCCACAAGTCTACGTCGTTTCCTTCCTGTATGGATGGGCGGCAGAAGCAGCTGCCTGTTGGTGTGAGCTGGTCATCAAATCAGATCAATATATGTACACTGACAATAACATGGGTCATTAAAAAAAAAGAAAAAAAAGAAACTTAGCTGCAAATAATAGCGGAAGATCAGCTTTCAGAATTCATTATTTACCCAATCATAATTAAATTATTTCTCGGAGTATCTTGTTATTTTCAAATAATTTTCAGTTTTCACAAATTCATATGGAAACAACATTCGGACATTTTCCGGGGAAGTGTTGAAAAGTTTTTAGTTCG